AAAAGCACAGTTTATAAAGAAGTGTCAGTTACCGAGCTGTGACGAAGAGACAGACAATCCAGTTGTCGTCACAGAATCGCGTACTACCGCAGCTACAGAGCAGTGGGCTAATATTGTCACAGGTACAGCTACTGCTTCATGTAGTTACGTCCAGTGTTCAGACAACACAGTCAGCGGCAGTAGTTGTTTAATTATTAAAAATTTATAGGTTGTGTGATGTCAGAAATGTCTCCAGCCGTTCATCTTTGAATCAAAGAGCAGTCAGACAGAAAAGTCATTGAAATGATGAAAGGTGGTTACATAAGCATAAACAAGGCTGATCAAATATTGGACCTTTTTCGTGCGAGATATCCAGAACTTCCAACGTCCGTCCGTAGTTTTCTACGTCGATGCAACGACGTGGAGCCTAAAACCCTGGAATTTGGAACTTACTACCACTTAGGATTGAAGTCAACTTTACTGAGGACTTCCGAAAATTGGCTACGTAAAATCCGTTTCACAGAATTGAAGCTGCAATTAAACTATGATGGTCTAAGTTTGTTCAAAAGCTCTAACCAACAGCTGTGGCCGATCCTAGGTCGCATAACAAGTCCATCGGTTAGTAATGTATTCATAGTTGGGATCTACGGTGGTGAAGTAAAACTATCTGATTTCAACGACATGTCAGCAGCACTTATAACTGAGTTACAAGAGTTGCTGACGGTAGGTATTATTGTTGATAAGTTTCACGTACATTTAACAGTTAAATTAGCTGCTGTTATTTGTGACGCTGCAGCACTCAGTAACGTCAGATATGTTGTTGGACATAACGCTACCGCCGGCTGTGACAAATATCAGGTTTTAGGGACGCGAATGGGTGGTCGAATGACTTTCCCCAATGGTGAACACGACTTAAGAAGCGATGTCACTTTTCGTAATAGGTCCCAATCTATCCATCATCGTGGTAGAAGTTCATTTGAAAATCTGCCATTGGATATGATAAAGTGTTTTCCATGGGAACTGATGCATATGATATACTTAGGTGTTACTAAAAAACTTTTTTCATTATGGAAGGAGCTAGCTATTAAGCGACTTAATAGAATGGATCAATCTATTATCGCATCAATAAATGATGCACTGGACTTATGTAGACAGCACACTACATGCGACTTTCAACGGAAATGTCGTTCACTTTATGAAGTTTCTGTATGGCAAGCCACTGAATGTCTGTTGTTCTTATTATACTCAGGACCTGTAGTTCTTCATAATAGGTTACCACTATCAATGTACAGAAACTTCCGGTCACTGCCCTTGTCAATATATTTATTATCGCACCCTAAGTTATACACCACATTAGCAAACAGTGTTCGGGTACGTATTAACAACTTCTTATTAGGTTACGAAAAGTGTTACGGTAGCGATCAATTAATCTACAATGTCCATAGTTTAAAGCACATTGTAGAGGACGTTATAGAGCATGGAAGTTTAGAGTCGTTCTCTGCTTTTCCTTTTGAATCATACATGTGGAAAATTAGGCATTCAATACACTGCGGATTTGCTGCGGCTAAACAAGCCGCACAGCGATATGCCGAAGAAGTTTACTTTCAAAGTATACTGAATCAGGATATGGCTGACAATGTCACTGAGCCTGAGGTAACTGATGATTCTTCCATGCAAGTCGTCAGTTACAGGAACTCAAAGCTATCTACTACAAGGCCGGACAATGTAGTTATCGCCAATGGTCGGCCAGGGTTCTTCACACAAATAGCTGATGAAGGCCTTATTAGGTTCCGGCCATTCCATAATCCTTCCGATTTATATACCGACCCTTTTCCCTCCAGCAATATTGGTATGTTTAAGTGTCCTACCTTAGGCCACGAATGCACGTGGAAAACACTGACAGACATACTTTGTAAGTGCATGTGTATGCGCACACAGCACTATGAGGTTATTATCCTTCTTTTGCATACATTCGAGTAGCAGATGTGACATCATTTCCCAAAGACTGTTGCAAATATAGTACTACATGAAGTTAGTGTCTGTTGGTTAGTGCTTTGGCATAGTCCATCAGGAAATATTCAAGAATGTAATCAATTTTCAATTCGTCACGCTGACAAGCCGAAAAGGTAAATTGTTTAACTTATTATATCACTTGTGTTAGGACTGTCAAACGAAAAAATACTGATGATTTATGCACCTCAGAAGAACTAGAGGTTGCTGAGGTTGAGGCTGGATTTGCCCCGGTGGAATTTCCAGTTGTCAACATTTTGATAGGAAACTTTTCCCTGATTGCGAGGTTTGTACCTACTTTATCAATACTCATATAGTAGTTCATCAAAAGCTGACGTATCATCACCACCACTTCCACGTATGTCGGCGGAAGTTGATAAACCGTAAGTTGCATTTACTGTATTCCTTATAACAAAAGTTTGTGCGATGATACAAACAAAATGTTAAGAACGCTCCTGAAATCGGTCAGTGAGCTGTCTACGAAAATAGACAAAATGCTATTTTTGTATGAACGCTTAGCCATGGGTGTAACTGACAGGCGTACAGAGGAAATGGATAGTGATGCTATACATTTCCCATTAAGAACGCATGAGGAGTTGCGTTCTTTAGACGCAGCATTAGAAAACCAAAAATACCGGTATCATTTCATAAGTTGTAAGAGGTGTTTCGATAAATTTTAGGTGGCAAGATTATGCAACGTAATGTATGATGATCCTCGGAAATCTGCAAAAGTCTGTCTGAAATACCTCCTTTCTCCAGAACTGGCGAACACGTACACCTTGCAAGGTATTGGTAAATACAAATTTTACTCGACGGTTCAAAGTAAGTCCACATTACTGTATTAACATATTTGTAGGTGCTTTGTGTTCACGTTTCAGAGGTGCAAGCTGCCAGGAGAAGGATATAATACACACCATGGCTACAGCAAGCCTGGCCTTCAGTTTGTGCCACATTGTTCCTACTCGTTCCCTTTCTACTCTGTCCTGTATTGTTTTAGACTATTTATTAAAATTCAGTAGTCAGTTGTATTCGCAATAACTGAAGTTCACTTTGGGGATTTCCACAAACCTCGCCGGATGATAATTATCATTGTATTTATCACTATTATCACTGTACTTTAATTACTGTTAGGGTTTATTACTTTGTGATCAATACTTAAAGTGATACAACTTTTGTCTTGTCCGTTTCCCTTTCAGATGGCTCGGCAGGCTTTATCAGACGTAACTGTAAGTTCTTTGTTCGCATTATTAAGAACTTTGTCACACTGTTGGTAGATCATCGACCTTTCACATATCTTAACACGTAATTATAAACTAAAAATGAGTCTTTTTATTTTTCAGAATATTGTCAATGACAGTTCTACAACGGAATAAAAAAAAACGTTGTTTACATAGATTATTTGTAAATTTATTAACTGTAATAAGCATTTATATACGTCATAAATCAGTCTTTTAAAAATAGCGACAAATCGGTTAACATTAAGTTTATTTGGCAATGCGCGATTAACGAAAATTAGTAAAACATCCCAGTAATAAATGTACGTAAGCATTCACCCTAGGTCTTCCGTGATGTCGACAGGTTTTCGTAAAGCTTTTGCGTTAAAATAGTTTTCCAGGAAAACCCAAAGGTTTGGGAAAGCTTCCCCAAAGTGATATCACTTTTATCTTGTCCGTTTCCCTTTCACCTGACTTCGCAGGCTTTACCACACGTAACTCATCGCATCGTAACAGTCACCAATACATGATGGGGAACACATTCAAGCTGAATATAGAACAATATATTTAATATGAATAAAAGATATAAGATACATTCAACAGGGACCACGCCTGCAAGTCCGAGCCATGCCATTCGATCAATTCGAATTCATTTTAATTCATTGTTCCCGCCTTCTCAGTCGTTGGGTTTTTCTCTGCGTTAAATATTGAATATCTATTTTCCTAGTTGTTTCGTGTTCAGTTTTGACGGTTGTGTGGTTAGGGCCCAATGGCACTACATGCTCTCCCACCAGAAGTGACCACAGCCCTCTTAGTGGATAGCTTTAAGAAGAGGCTTGATAAACACGTATTCACCCATAAAGTGCCATCTCCCGCTTGCATCAGTTGTGCCTGATGCATGTCTTGTAGACTGCCTGCTGTCATCGTTATTACATGTCAGTAGCTACATTCTATCTCGCTTATTACAATCTCAGTTTCCCCGTTTATCCTTGCACTTCCGTCTGCTTTCACGGTTGGCATTACACACCAATCAACTAACTTGATCACTCATTGGTTGAAACAATCTTCTTCTCCCGGTATTCGGATTTTCTCTTTGTTTTATCCATTACAACCAGCCAGCCAACCTCCTGCCTAGTAATGGACATTACCAAATTCCTGGAACTGTGTTGAAATAACAAGAAGTATGTGGCCAAATTAGTCTGTCGATATGGGCTAATAATAAAGATATTTGGTACTGAATGCTTTATTCTCATTCACATGATGTGTTTTTTAAATAGAGCTAGTTCGAATCCGATAGAGCGTAACTGGTTTACCTACTTATTTCTTGTTCGAATTCGAAGAATATCCTGATTTCAGGCTTGTGTTTTTACTGACTTTTTCCATTGCTTTTTTAACAAATACAACTGAATTATGTGAGCTTGTTAAGTCGACCCACCAATTTTTGCTCTAGTTTTCGTTCCTCTTAATGCCACTGTGAGCATTCCCGTAGTACACAAAGTACTTTATGGCTAAACGCGAACAGCTACACTGAGACTGTGGTTAAGCCTTCAATAGTCGACTGATGGTAAAAACTGGAGCTTGCATGGTAAAAGCTTCTCTTATTTCATCCACAAACATTTTATAGGGCCAGTGATTTACAAGTGGAAGGGTTATTATGAGAATTAAAACGTCATATGTTTTCATGTGGATCACAGAATTAGTATAGGATCTCAAATAGTTTGAAGCTAGCTTCTCACTCAAAATTTATCACATTAGTAAGGAATTAGTAGAAATTTTAACTTTGTTTGTTTTTGCAGCCCGGAGTCTGCAGTTTTAAATAGTAGTTATTATATTTTCGTGCATCCATTACTTTCCGTTCAGTAAGTATTTACGTTGTTCTGATGCTAAAGAATACTGACACAGAAATATACAACAACATTTCTGAATTTATATACATATATGATCTATTCAGCAACTCCACGTATACTACACACTATAGTGTGTATATATGCATGGAGTTGCATTGTACTGCAACGCAGTATATATTATAAATTGAGTCTAGTAGTATTTTGATTGTGAGGCTGTTCGAATGAGAGAATTCATTTGATATGGATCCAAATTACTCGATCTTTTCAGATTCGCGGATTTTGCATTTAATGCAATTGACTTTTCTTATTTTGGCCATAAATAATCATGGTCACCGTTGGCTAGTTAAGCACAAAATTTTATGTAGTTTCCTGCAGAAATTAATTGAACCGTTAGTATTCTTTTGCATGAATTAAGAGGCTCTGTAGTCGGCCATATGGTGAAACCATTGGTGAGCAGTTGGCTTTCAGTGCGCTGTCGTCCTAAAGTTCTAAGTGAAACTTTGGAAGTGGTGCTTGGTTGTTGATGTACTTTTGATCAATCTTGTACGAATCGGCTACCAAGCAGTGTTTTTATTACCTAACTAACCTGATCAAATCATCCCTACGGTTCAAACCTCTGAACATCACTGCACCTTAAAATCCAGTGACAGTTATCTCATAACTATATGATGTTTACTTGCAAGTGCTGATGATGCGTTACCATCAATAAGTCACTGAAAGTATTTATGAAAGTAGTTTGCCAATCTTATTCTGAGAGTATGAGGACACGAATGATATTCAAAACAAAACATATAAAGTATTGTCTTCATTTACAACGGAGGACCAAACAAATTCCTTTAGAAATAATTGGTTACTATTGTCAAATGATCATAGGATGTAATATATTCAGATGCATGTGGGGGTAAAATATAAATATGACCGCCCAAAATTTTAAGCCCCATCACCTGTGATACCTAACCTTTATTATTTTACTGAGCATAGATCACTATAATGAGTTACCACAGCCTTCTTCCATCAAAAAGTCTTATCAACCACGAATTACTAGTACAGTAACCATAATACTTTAAAGAAAATCAAACGTCTTGGCTTTATTTGAGTTTGATTCCGCTGTCTTTATTTTTCTAATGTAAGGAAAGTCATATGCTCGTCTTTCGGTTTACGCGACCAAATGACGGCACTTTTATATCTGTTCTTGACCAACGCACTCCATCTTTAACAACACTGTTGGTTGTGTGGTGTAGATTTTAGAGGTGTTTTTTGCATTTTGGTACTCTTTTGGTTTGTCATTTTATTTCACTAAGACTGCAATAACCGATGTGGTAATCATGCAATGGATATAGTTATTATTCCTTTGAATGTGATCTTCAAGTCGTCCCAAACTTTTTCAATTGTCCGTCGTATGTTAGCAGACTAATCTTACAATAAAATACTTTATGATCGTCAAGATGTTTATGTTCAATATATTCAAACGGGAGAAGAACAATCAGACAAAATTGTGAATTATAAACCTGAAATACACCTAACTCTATTCACTCATTAATAGTGGAAAGTCGAATGTCGATAACGTCGTGAATATGCTGCATGGAAGCATTTTAAATAACCTACCCAGTACAGGAATATGACCTAAAGTATGGTTGTTATATCTTATTTTTGTGATATAGATTGTGCGGGGTATCGGTTCTTTCTCCAGACATATCTAATATAAAACGCTTAGGATTTCTGAAAAACCGCTTATTATATTCATGCACGTCTCAAAGGTATTGTCTTCCAAGTCCTCGATACCCAGAAATTCAGTTTTCATGGTTGTTATTGTTCATATTACCTCTTTTAAGCCACCATTCCTGAACGTATTTATAAATTAAAATCTTAAGCTTTCAATAGTTTACAAGTTGTCAACAAGTTTAAGTCTCTCCCGATTCTGGTTTTCACACCTTTTTCCATGATACGTATATTCGAAAATCCTGACTTAATAAAATGTTCTAACTAAGTGATAAACATTTAACTGATATTTAATTGTTATAGAACTGGGAAACGTTTGTCTTCAGTTATTGATGCCAGATTTTACATTGTGTTCACTGCTAAAATTACATTATGATCTAACCAATGTGTTAACTACTGGAGATGTATTGATTTTTGTGATCATTAGATTTTAAGTTGTATTTGTGAATATCGGTGGTTTTTTATACACTGCATAGATCTAAAAAGGTATTACCCTATCAATCGTTCTTAAGCTCACTAATGTGTGATTAGGTGAACTTTTGTGGTGTGACTACATTTTATGTTTGTTTGGCACACTAGACCAAAAGATTATTACTGAACTTCGCCTGCTTTTTTCCTAGATTTGTTTTAGATTCATATATTGTTTCCCGGATTTTCGTAGATATTTAAGTTTGTATTTTTTCTGCTAGCGAGCTGTTTAAGCCATCCATTTCGAGTTTGAATTTACTAACGCTGATAAAAACTACATGTATTAGAAGCTCATCATGAACAGTGATTGTCGAGTTCTGTAAACCGTTAAGCAAATTATATGCGCATAGTTAGTTGTGCTAGTCGTTAAAGTTTTATGTAAAGGATTAATACAATTGTATTAAATACTTATGATCTTTTATTTATAGATGTCTTCCGTGAAGGATTGTACATGTGACAAGTTAAACTCTTTCAAAAGTCCATGGTGTGATGCTGACTGTTTTGTTGTAATCACAGGTGCAAGTCGTGGATTTGGTCGGGCGTTCGCTGTGGAGCTAGTAAAGTCAATGTCATCTGGGGAAGACCATGCTGCTTCCTTAAATGTTTTACTAATGGCTCGTGATGTTAATGCTCTTCGTGTAACGGAGTCTGAGGTGAGTTTATTTATAGAAGTTTCTTCCCTCATGTAACCAATATGATTAGAAATTGGCTAGTTGATCATAGCAATCCAGGCTTAACAAAAGAATGTCATTTGATGTATAAAACGATAAAAAAAATGTATGTAAATACTCTTTTATATCTTATGAATCAAAATGCTGTATTAATAAGTCAGTCATTGTTGAGTATATTGAATCCTTAAATACAGTATCTGAAGAAAGCAAGTGTAAGATCATGTATTGATTTAACGCAATTTTTTTTATCATGCGGCTTCTGTTCAATATGACATCTAATTGTATTAATTTTGTGTTGCAGTTTAACAGTAAGCAGTGATTACTGAGTATAATCTGTATACAATGAAATAAATCTAAACGTCAATTGATCTTATTTGGTTTTTACGGAATAAGTCTTCCGTATATGTTTTGTCTCTTGTAGTACCTCAGGTTAGAAGACAAAAGAGCTGTTGTATACTGATATCAAAATGTAGTCAAGATTTATTGCTTTTATCACAGACATCTCAATCAGCCATTATCATTGTAGAACCTGATACAAATGTATGCCGATTCACGTTAAACAACGTAAGAAAACAATTAATCTAAGTTGAAGCAGAAATCTTAACCATTTATTCGAAAACATTTACATTGCTCAAAATTACCATACCACATCAGTACAGAAGGGTAAAATTAACAACATGAGTAAGAAACGAGTAAAGACGATAATAGTATCGATATATGTTAAAGAGGATGATTAAATATAAAGAATACAGTTCGAAAAAGAATGGATGAAAAGAGTATTTTAAAGATATATTAGACCTAAAAATCTCAAGCAAATAAGGTATGTCAGACAGCCAAACAGCACACAGACGACTGTTAACGAGGATCCACCCTAATAGTGCTTGTTCTGCCCTCGTACTTATTGCTATGACTACACCTGCCGATTCACGAGAACTAGTCATCGGGTCGCCAGATACTCGGAGGGTGTATCTCGTTGGCTCTCCGTTTTGGCGAGATGAGGTCCAAAGGCTGACCACACTAGGATTCTTTATGCGTGTTTCGGAGACACAGCATACATCAATGGTACGAGATTCTAGGGTTTTAGCCAAGGAGGCCTGTTGACCGATTTGACATCGGGTGCGTACGTTGAAGGCTCCAATGTGTAGTGTGGAGCAAGGTTTCAGTAGACCTAGGACAGTGTTTTGCGCACTAGAATCGTTGGCTATGGTGACACTTGAGGTGGAAGCGAAAAGAGGAAGTTTATGGTTGAAAGTCGATGTAGGACGAATAATACGAATTGAAGAGGGAGGTTGATTATGAAACTATATCTATATCAATTGGTTGGCCAGGTTTTATAGTTATGTACACTTTAATTGGTTTATAACAAAATATCACTAATAATATTGTTTTGTTGTGTGTATATCTTTAGATAATATTCTTTGTATAAGTTATGTGTACTATATGAAAACGGACAACTGAACTTTAAACTTTGTTCAAGATACGCTGAGCAATAACAGAGGAGAGTAGATAAAAAATTCTTCATATCCCTTATTTTTCTCCTTCCAAATTTATTTCTCTAGATTATACCCCTTGAATAACATCTTAAAACTGTAATCTTTCAGATGACTGCTTATACTTTTACTACCTCTACCACTACAGGATTTGGATCGACAACTGCATCTCTGTTCTAATGTGGTATGGCAACTCGGACTGATGTACGTACGTACGTACGAAGTTCTACGTTGTTGCTGACTGTAGATAAAAACATGATAAAAGCTAATTAAGATTGAAACGTTCCATTGTGCAAATGAAATTATTTTCTTTATGTTTCGTATTTTTTACGAAGTTAATACGTAGTTCTGTTTATATTCCTGTTACCGTATCTATGTCTTGTTAACTTGTAGTCAGTCAGTAACAACGTAAAACTTCGTACGTATGTACATCAGTTCGAGTTGCCACACCACAGCACAAAGATGCAGTGGTCGATTCAAATCCCGTACTGCTAGATGTAGTTAGGGTTTGAAGATGTTATTCAAGGAGTATAATCCAGTGAAATAAATTTGGGAAGAGAAAAAAGAAAGGGACATGAAGAAGTCAGAAGATTAGAATTTGGGAGAACACAAAGAGTGGATGCACCTGCACCATTGCATAACTTGTAGTCATCATCCATAAATCTTTGCTAACATTCTAGAAGTCTTTATTTAAGAATTCTTTACATGGATATATTAATCATTTGTGGACTTTCCGTTCTAGTTAATTGTTTTGGTTATTAAAGTGGAGCTTTCAAAAACTTACTATTCCTGGCCATTCATCCCATAATTTTATCCTCTGTTCCCATTTTTTTATATGAAATATTGTTATTCCACTATATGGATCGTGCATTCTTCATCCTGATACTCTGTTGCATTGAAAGCTTTATGACAAAGTAGTTTTTAGTACGAGCTAAATGGCCGATGCTGCTGTCAAGGTCTTTCAAATATAATACTCAAAAGACATACATAATAGATGATGGTGGTTGGTAGAAACAAAATATTTGAACGGATGCAGTGACTATTAGATTAACCGTCTAAAGGAGTGCAAGTGTCACACTTAGTCAGTTGGTTAGTTATGTGCAACGTAGAAACTGATATATATGTACATCGGTTCAAATTGTCAAACCATATCAATACAGCTAAGTAGAGTTATTAAGAAAGATGTTAGATTAGTGGAAGCAATAACAATATCGGTGGTAGAGGAGAAGATTAGGCATAGATATAGTTAACCGAGGTAAAAGAATGAGTTCATCGGATAAAATTCATAAGATAGTTAAAATACTTAAGATCTAAGGTAAAACAATACGTAATGCACGCAATGTCGAGTCACCTAGACTAATGGCTACATTGCAACTTGGTCGATAGCATTTTATCTGCATTAAGAAGGATCTGACACACATAAAATTGATCACTACCCAATGATCAATCAATTGTGAATACATCTCAGTCATACAGGAGGTCAATTGCGGCCCGGATAGCCCAGTGGTAACATTTCTGACTGTGAAGCTGGGTGATTTATTTTATTTATACATTGGTACAAGAAGACACCAAATAGTTATGCGCCACACAACTCATTCGATTTGTATGAAGGCTGGGATACTGCTCGGGTGCCCAAACCGAAGCAGGTGGTTTCTTAGGAGGCCACACCCCGAGCCTTTGACCTAAAGGTCCAATCCATAAAACAATGGGGCAACGTCAGAAGATTCTGTCCTATGGTAGCCGGTGACCAACGATTGGTTCGTACTCCAATTGTTCCTTCAGGATCATGGAGCTCATGTGTACGACTGGTTTAGAATGAGGGTTTTCCAACTCCCATAGGTGGATCCTCCATATCCATAAACCCTGTTAAAGTGCCGGACATTCGCTTTTCGTCCTCTCGATTTCTTAAAAAACAGTAATGTCGCGAGAAGGCAGTGAGTAATACTTCCCTGGCAGTGGTTGTATGTACGTGGCCATGTGAGAACATTTCGAGAGGGAGAGCCGACTCTCCCCACTCTCGGCCATACCAGGGCATTTGGGGGCTGGGTGACATGGGACCGAATCCGTCAGGGGCACCATTTCCCCCAAGATTACAGGTACATCTTGCTGACAAATGCCAAATAGCACGAAACCCGGGTACAGGATCTCCTGTTGACCACCTTCAACCACTATCTTAGCTATTTATTTATATGACTTATTATCAACCATAATGTCTTATAAATAAACGAATTGTTAGGTGCAAACTACTTGGTTAGGGTCCACGAGACTATCGTAACCAATGGTTGGAGATTCTGGGTGACATGGCTCAGAATCCATCACAATGGTGTAGGTGTATACACATTCTGTCTTCCTTTAAACTATGCGGTTAAAATCGCTTCATGTATTTCTCTCTACCAACTAATTCTTTCTTCCTGTACTATATCCCTATATACAATCTTTCTTTTATATATTACCTACACTGAATCCGGTATTCAGCTTGTTGTGCTAACGAGGTATGGCAACTTGGACCGATACATATATGTGCCTAGTCTTAAGTCGTAGCCAACTGACTGATTTAAATTTATGTAAATGATTCAATGCTTTCTTTCTCCCTTTCTTTTTTTTTCTCTTAAATTCTTGCACAGATGTATGCTTCATTATCAACTAATTCTAAAATGAAATTAACTATACTAGTATCAACATCATCACTTGATATGTCCAATGCTAATAAAGATAATTTATTAAATGATTTAAAACCATTATTTCAATTAAATTCATTATATCCTATTCAATCTAATATAAAATGTCAATGGAATATGCTTGTACATAATGCAGCTACATTAGGTAATATCAAGTCAAAATCATATGAATGTTATAATATTGATATATTAGATACATATTATCATACTAATTTAACTGCACCTATCTTATTAACAAATTTATTTATAGAATATTTTATCACTAATCATCAACCTATTACTATAGTGAATATATCTAGTTTAACAGCTATTCAACCATTTCCATATATGTCAGATTATTGTATTGGTAAATCAGCTAGAGAAATGTATTTTAAATGTTTATCTATAGATAATCCATCATTAGCTATATTAAATTATTCTCCAGGACCATTAAATACAAATATGTTAACAGAAATCATAGAAAATCATGGTCATCTAGATACACGTATTCAATTTAATAATATGAAATTAAATGATCAAATTATTGAACCAAATGAATCAGCTCGTGTATGTATTGGATGGCTTAAAAAACAAATACCAATAGATCCATCTAATATAAATTCTATACCGAAATTAATACATTGTTTAATCCATGATAAAGAGTATACAAATTTATGGTTAGGTATACATTTAGATTATTTTGATGCTGTTGAGAAAGTTTAAAGAAGAAGAAGAAGAAAAAGAAGAAAAATGCATTAACATTGTCGACGATGAGATTGTGAATTTCATAACTTCTCAATTCTATCATCAGAAATGAATGATATATTCATATAAGTGTCAACTATTCTATATTATGAAGTAAGTATTTATTCTGTTGTCATCTTTCCCGTTTTTGTTTTGATATTGCCAATTCAGCTTTATGTGTGTGTGTATGAATTCTTGATCTATGTTACGTCGTGTTATACTTATATCTCTAATAAAAGGTTAGCAATCTAAAATATAGTTTCTTTTCGTGTTTTTCATAAATCAAGAATGTTTAGAATCAACTTTTGTTTTATCCTATTGTAATGGTCAATAATCAATATAGTCCTTAAACTTCGTCCTGATAACCATCTTTATAGATAACGCTCCAACCTGTGTATTAATCAGAAAGCGAATACGAAGTGTTGATTACGTTTATTATTGCATCATACACAGATCACCAAAATTAAGCGTGAAAGGGTAGTGCTGAAAAGCAAGCGGGTAAGTGATTGAGCATGCGAGTCAAATGAACGAGTGAGTGAACAAGATAAAATGTACATATATATACATGGTGAAATGAATGAATCATCAACTCAATTAAGCGGCCCTCAAATGTACTGGTACGGCTGAAAGTGGAGAGAGTCAGCTCTCTCGAAGTGCTCTCACATGGTCATGTGCATATAATCACTGCCTTCTCGCGGTGAGGGTGTTGTTTACGAAATTGTGAGGAAGAAAAGCAATTATGCGTTGCTTTAACGGTGCTGATGGATACAGAGGATCTACATAGGAGAGTTGAAAAAACCTGATTGCAAACAATTGGTGGACATGGGCTCCAGGATCCTGAAGGAACGGATGGGATATGAACCAATCGTTGGTCACCGGCTACCATGTGACTGTATCTCCTGACGTTGCCCCACTATGTTGTGGATCAGATCTTTAAATCGAAGGCTCTGAGTGTGGCCCTTTATGAAACCACCTGTTTCGTTCTGGGCACTCGGGCAGTATCCCAGCCCTCACATAAATCGAGTAATTTACGTAGCGCATATTTGGTGTCCTCTTGTACCAAAGTTTATGTTATCTATTAAGTGACTGATAGTAAGGCTAGCAGGAAGTAAACAATGCTCAAGCATACATATTCATACAAGTGCAACAATAATTAAGGTACAATGGTATAGATAACTTGTTATTGTACGAATGACTATGTCCGTCAAATAAGTTAACAAAAAGGCTTAATCAAATCAAATGTGAACAAACTCAATTGCACGTGAGCTGCTATATTCGTCTTTTGGAAGCTTACAAAACACTTAATGTATTTTTCAAATCTGTCATTACTTGGATGTATATTCAATTATGTAATATCGAAGTTTATTGGTATACTGGATCGAATAACTATTTTTATTGCTTTAGCTAAAAAAAATAGTAGAAATTCTCAGATTTATCCAAAACTCAATTATAGTAGTTATGAATAAACCAACATTAAAAGGCAAAAACATACGTGAATATATATTACTGAATGTAAAGAAATTGAGCAATAGTTATTTATGAAGCATTTATCGGTCATTACAAACACTATAACTAGTGATTGGATTTTCGGCTGATCAATATAGTTTTTTGTAATCAATTCTGAACTACATTTCTTATATGAAGATTAGGGTAACTGCTAATCAACTCGTGATATTGGAATATATTTAGGATGGAGTTTGAACCTGAAGTGTACGAGTTTAAAGCCGACAATCTTGAATGCTCATCAATCACTTCATACATAGCTCAGGAGTATATTAGTCTCACTTGCTACTTTTCACGATAAAGTTGAACGAATAGTTGATTAGAGAATAGAAATGTGATTTATACACTTGTTCAACCTAATTCATACCATTAGATCTATAGTAAAAGTTAGCAAAGATTGTCTTAAAATATTGGAGGGAAATGTAAAATGCCTGGGAATGTTTGGTTTTACATAGTACTACAAGGAAATGGGTTGATTAGCCATCATCAAGTGCATTGAACCATCAATGTAGCTAAGATCACTTCTTGCCTTTGTTACATACATGCTGTCTTACTTACTTACGCCTAATAACACTCATCGAGGAGCAAAGGCCACCCACCAGCATTCTTCATCCAACTCTGTTCTGGGCTATCCTTTCCAGTTTTTATTCATCCCTTTCATGTCTACTTCTATTTCCCGACGTAATGTGTTCTTCGGCCTTCCTCTTTTCCGTTTTTCTTCACTATACCAAGTTAGCGCTTGCCATGTGATACATTTTGATGATTTCCGTAATATATTTCCTATCCACTTCCAATGTCTTTTTCTAATTCCCTTCTCATCTCGAAGTTGGTTTACTCTCTCTCATAGTAATCCATGCTATCTCATAGCTAGTAAATGGATTATCAAAATTTTAACAACAACAACAACAACGACAACAACAAAAAAGCATGTTTATATTATTTGAAAGTCATTTATAATAACATTTCCCTTCTATAATAACATTCCAATCTCAGATAAGTTCAATCTGATCAATAGAAAGAATAAGACAAACAATTTATTCTTGAATAAATTAGAAGAGAGAACATTTTTAACTCGGTTAGAAATGTAGTGGAATTTTCTATTCTACAAAAAGACAGTTATTTTAATGGATATAGATCTTATCAACTAACTAAAAAGTCTTTTTTGAATCATCTATTTACAAACATTAAGTGATCTTTGATATTATTTCTATCCCGAACTTGTCAAAGTTATTAGCATATTATGTAGAGTGATCAAAATATGAGAAAAGTTGAAGAAGTATGTCTTAATTCTTATCAAATGATGTAGATTTGTAGTGATTTTTTTTACTGAGTTTATAACGAATGATTATCATAATATTATTTAACAGTTGAATTCATGAATTGATCTAAGTTAGATTACTATTGAAAACTTGAACGTATTAGATGGTTGTTTCAAGTTTTCAATGGGGGTCTAGCTTAGATTGGTTCATGAATTCAGCTGTTCAAGTTCCTATAATCTCTACAAATCCCCCATTCTGAGATCATTTGGTTAAATATTGGAAATCCAAGGACAACAAACCCATGAGAAGACGACCAGTGTAGCAAAAGTAGTAGGTCTTAACATACACAAACGGGAAATCAAGATTATCCGATACAACACAACATGCACCAAACAAACCTCACTTGACGGAGAAGCTTTGGAGGATGTGAAAACCTTTACATATTTCGGCAGCATCATTGATGAACACAGTGGATCTGATGCAGATGTAAATGCACGAATCGGTAAAGCAAGAGCAGCGTACTTACAACTGATGAACATCTGGAACTCAAAACAACTGTCAACCAACACCAAAGTGAGAATTTTCAATACGGATGTGAAGACAGTTCTACTGTATGGGGTGGAAACCTGCAGAACTACGAAAGCCATCATCCAGAAGGTACAAATGCTTATTCACAGTTGTCTACGCAAAATACTTCGGATCCATTGATCCAAACAAACCAGATTCCAGTGGAGGAAGAAGCACTGGGAGTGGATAGAACACACATTGAGGAAAGCACCCAACTGTGTCAAAAAGCATGCCCTGACTTGTAATCCTCAGGGCCAAAGGAAAAGAAGAAGAATAAAGAACACATTGGGCCGAAAAATGCAGAAAGACACGAGAAGAATGAACAGCAATTGGATGGAACTAGAAAGGAAGGTCCAAGCCAGGGTGGGTTGAAGAATGCTGGTCGGCCGCCTATGCTCCATTTGGGGGGGGGGTAACAGGCGTATGTAAATAAAAAGTAAAAGGACATTGGTATAGTATCCACAACTACAACTTGTAAAGTCAACCAAATCGGAAGTTAGACAATAATCAACTGACCGTATTGAAAAAAGGCTATCAGAAATTATTACATCTTAAGTATCACTCATAATATGGGTCATTTGATCATGATAATATTATGCTAGCAAATAAACCTCCAGGACATGAATACATTGTATGCTCAGTGAAAGTAATACTAGAATGATACAACTATCATGTCTTCAATGATTTTACCCAGTAAAAGTTAGTTTCATTTAAGGAACTTTGGATTACATAACATTTAGGTGTCAGATAACTTGGAAAATACTGGCATTTGGACCAGAAATCCAACAGTACTGTTTACTAAAAGATGTGAAGGCTTTTAGTTAGATACTACCTCTGTAAGTAATACAAATCTTCTCATTAATGATTGACTTCGAGATGGATTCCCTGAAGCTTTAGAAGCGATTGATAACTGACTTATCAAATCAAGGAAGTCACTAGTGGTATAATCAGTCAGTCAGTGGTATAATAAATTGTAAATAAACATTGGATGTGTCTTGCAGTATATGTATTAAGATGATTAGGGTTGGAAAGTTTAAATTTTTGTATTTCAACCCATCTACTATATTACACTGTACTTCATACGTGTTTATAATCAAGTTTATGAATGACACTATTTCATGCACGAAAAATTATAAGCGGTGATAATTCCCAATACAGATTTCAATGAGCAGTATATTTTACATTCTTACTAGTTTGAATTACTTAGTCTAAATGATTCATTCAGAGTGAGCATTTGTACTCATCAGGGATTCCATGATCAAACTGTATTGAGGTAGCACTGTAAAGAAATTACAATGGAACTGTATCTATTTTATGAAAGGTGTAACAAAAATCTTTCAGTTTCTTTATGAGAAAGGTATCACTGAGCTAAATTCCAATGACTCACACTTACTATTAAATTTAATTGGTGATGTATCACAAATCTGCATGTCTTCGTTGAATTACTACATGAAACGTGGTTTGACTAACTGTAACAATTCTTAGAACATTTTCATGAGGACTGTCCCGAGTCAGATGAATAATTCCGCGTACTTATGCATAACTCTTTCTCACATATACTGTGTGCTGTGTCTCGCTTCACCCTTTATATGCCTCCAAATGCTATGGTACGACTGAGGGTGGGGGGGAGTCAGGTCTTCCTCTCGAAATTCTCTCACACAACAATGCGTATACAACTGAGCTACAAATCTTCTCCACCACTTCTTTTTCCAGTGAATCGAACACAGAATTACTCATCTAGATTTTACTATGATTATGTGTATGGAAATCTCACATAATAAAATGACCCAATAGTTCCAAACAATCAGTTACTATGGAAGCATTACATTCAACAAATTTTCAGGTTATAAAATTTAAAAAAGCCTCAGTCATTGTGGCATTAACCTATTTGTAATCAGTCCTATCGCTTTTATCATCTAAGAATGAGTGGGATAATTTTATAGGAACGTTTGAAGTTTTTCAATTATATTAGAACAATAGAAAGGAGTCTAAGAAAGTCATTTATTATGACTTCATATTTATTTATTTAAGAACTTTATGTTTCACTGTTCTAAGCTTTTTCTCTTGTACTGATTCAATTGATGAACGTTTATTCTAGTCCCAACGCTGATTGGACTTGAATTTTTGAATAGTTATCAAGAGCACAAATTCATTCTATTTTTCAATGTTACAATAAACCTTCTACCTAGTTAATTAGAGTATTTGTATAGTTTCCAGAAAAAGGATCTAACAAAGTGGAAAAAAGACCCAGGTTTCTTTTTCTTACTTGCTTAGTTAAGTGTTTAACTTATTACTAATACTAAAAATGTATTCAGAAATCTCCAGAAACCAAGTCAATCATTAGTAGCCATATGAAATACCACTTCCTTTAAAACTGAAATCAATTTTACAAGGGATCGAAGATGTTGTATCTCGATGAAGATTAAATTACAGGTAACTTCCAAGGACTATTAATGGACTAATATTCTATAAATATTCTTATTGTATAACTATTCAACAATTACATTATGTATATTTATATTCCTCTTATGATAAGCTTTATTTTGACCTATAATTTATTATTGTACGATTTACGGTTCTTAAGCTATGCTCAGTCTATTAATTACTGTCCCCCTCGTTCTCAGCCACTTTTTGGCTTATTTGTGTACATATGTTATTTTCTATTTTATGGTACGTTGCGGTCTGTCTGATTGATATATAAACCGAGTATGTCTGAAATAAACGATCTGATCTGATTCGATTCATATTACAGTAGCTGGTATTGTGTTCTGGACTCAAGTGGAAGGGTTAGGAGGACATAGGACCGATCAGTACGCTAAACTGGTTGAACGTCATTGGTTTAGCATAGTGCGAAATTGTATAAGTCGTATTCTGACTGGTCGATAAGTCGCGTGATAGAAAGCCAGACATCAAGGTCATAACAGATATTACAATTGAACTACTCACTAAGTGATCTTTACAAATTTGGTATTTTTACACTGATGCCTGAGTAATAAAGAATAAGATTTTCGGCCAGGCCCTAACGAATTAGTTATGTGACCTTCAGTCTAAGTGGTTAGGACTCGGATAACCATATTTGGGTATCAATCATAAAGTTAGTGCCTATTTTTTCAGTGTTATTCTCATTTATAAGTGCTATTATTAATCCATGAATCGATTAAAGCTAGAACACCATGGAACCACTGGATAGTCGTTCCATTCTAGTATGGGACTCCGAAGCAGCGAGCATCCTCGATCACGCGCGCGAACGCTTAACCTCTAGATCACTGAGCTGGTATCCAACGCTGTTAATGTCTAACTTCAACCAATCCACGAAATCGAACCACCGTCTCCAGTGAGTCACAATCTTACAACAGACCCAGTTGAATTCCACTGGTCACGGCTTCTCATTAGGACTCTAGGGAATACCTCTTGAAGCCAGTCACTAGTGCTTCCAGGTTTTCCATAGTGGTCTAGCTTTAAATGACTCATGAATTCAACTATTAAATTACTACAATCTCCGCAAAACCCCTTTCAGATATTATTAATCCACTAGAGATATCATCCGATGGAAATGAAATTTCATTTATTACTACAAATGCTTAAGGCAACTCTGTAATAGACTGGTGGCTTATCGATTCATTTTTAAATTATATCAAACGATACAATTCAGACTGTAAGTAGAACAGGTTCCGAACTTATAACCCGGTTAGTCAGTGGCTAAACGTTCAATACTGTAAATAGTAAGCTATCACTCTCACGTTCAGAGAATCTGTGGAAGGGGTATAAACAGATATTTAACCTATTTCTACAGAATAGGTGGTAGTTTGGCTGATGGTGGAATCCAGGTGAATTTTATCCCGCTTAAGACTCGTCAACTGAATGTGCCTGTATTAAAGTTTTGATGCTCCATCGGAACTCAAGCCCAGTACCTTTCGCTTCAAACACTTACAAATAATGTGGTTGTCCTTCCGATTGACGTAAAATTTATTTTGAACAAACGCTTATCACCACAGTAAGGATATCTGCTTTCAAGATAATGTATTTCCCGACTGTAACTACTACCTTAAAGTGGTAGGTTGGGATTGCATATTGTAATAACTCAGCCGAGATATAGTGACATGTCTTGGATGGTCCACTAGGATGCTTTGTACCTGTGTGGTTGCGCCACAGGATTGAGCTGTACTATTCAGATTGTAGCATTAAAGCCTATACAGTGTCTATTTCTCCTGTGAAACGGGATTCAGCTGTACTGCTCGGGTTATAAAATTTAAGCCTGGGTGGTGTTTGGCTCTCCTGTCAAACGGGATTGAGCTGTGCTGTTTGGGTTGTCATGTGAATGTCTGGTCCTTTTGAAAACCAATTTAATATTACCCTGACCCACAAGGGTATATATGGCAGGTCTACTGGAGAACGACGATAAAACAAAGCCAGGGCTTAAGTCGAACTGACGACTGTACAGGGGTATAATAGTAGTACAGTTTTTCCATCAGATTACTATCATCTATTAAGATACTGCTTTCTCGTAGTAGAATGAAGAGGTTAGAAAAGGTCGGGCCTAAAAATGTCACAACTTATTTTACCCCATGGATTTCCATCTATAACAGTATAAAGCAAATAGATTAAAAAATTTCCACGAAATGTGTATAACCATCCCCAAGCAGTTGTTCCTTTCGGCTGTTCGATTACATTCCCAACTCTTTAATAATTGCATTTTCAATTGACACCCCTCGAAGAAGGAGTATTGTTTTATGGTGTGGACAGGTAATCGGGGAATCGACAACTTTCCTCATACCTTTAACAGAATATGAAATCACCTGTCTGTTAAGTATTTATTTTTAATATATACATATAAATTGTGTTTTATTTTTGGTATACCAACAGAAAAGAAATATTCGTCTAACTCATACATATAGAACAAATTTAAAAATATATGGTAGTTTCCATGCAAACGCTAGAGTACCACATACAGGATATTGATATATATATATCAAAGAAAGAAGTCAATATAAGAATAGATTAAGGCATAAATCATGATTATGATCGTTGTCGTTATCAATGATAACGATTATTATGAAAGATATATATACTTATATCTAATAGAGATATGTAATATTTAATTATCATTGATTATACTACTTATATTATCATTAGTAGTTGTATGTACTGAATAATTATGTGATGTAGAACCATTATCATTACTATTATGTTCATCATTTGTGGTAGATTCATTTGTTGTTAATAAATCAATTAAGTGTTGTAATGGAACAAGTTCACGTTTTTGAACTAAATTAAATTCCTATAAGTAGAAAAACAAAACAAGCATATATATTAAACATTGAAAGAGCAAATTTACTTGATCTTGTTTTAATTATATCTTCCCATTGTTATTTAGGACTGCAATTGATCAGTCTCATGTTGGTATATGTGCATCCTGTATGGATTGCCTCGATATAATAGCCTTAGGTCATAAGCTTTTTAAGCAAAGATGGATAGTGGCTAGCAGTGGAATAGAGGACGCGGATTTCGTCCTATTCGGGACTCGTCAGCTGGATGTACCTGCATCTCAGAGTTGATCTTCACTCTGGTACTCGAACCCAGTACCGTTCGCTTCAAACGCCATCACGTTGTCCACTTAGCTACTGAGTTCTGATGGCCACATACTTGTGCAATGGGGTGCAGTTTAAATTCACTTGGTGTTGTTTTACTTGTATCTTCCTATTGTTATTTAGGACTGAAATTGATCAGTCTCATGTTGGCATATGTGCATCCGGAGTCCCGGAGTGAAAATCAACTCTACGGTGCAGGTACATCCAGCTGACGAGTCTCGATAGGATGAAACGCGCATCAAACTGGATTTCACTGCTAGCCACTGTACATCTTTGATTGAAAGAGCAGTTTATGCACTATAACACAAGTATTATTTAAAGAAATGTTTTGATTTATACCCTATTATTCAGTTGTAGATATATAGAAGATATATACGTAAGCATTTCATTGTAAATGTATTGGAATTATTATTGTTAAATAGTTGGACCTAGTTGCTAGGACACTGATCGATTTAATTCTCGTGCTAATTGGAACTCACCAACAATCCATACCTTCTAATGTTGAACGAATTGATACTTCTTATGGCGATGGGACATGCATCATTCATCATCATTTCTGATAAGCTACTAGGGATAAGAGAAGCTGTGTGGATCAATAGGAATTAGGACTCTTAATCATATAGTTTGAATTTCTAACAATTGATTCAGGATATAAGAAACTAAACGCCATAACAAGCTCGCTCAGTGTCCTCCTTTTATATAAAGAGTACTTCAGTCAGTCAATTATAACACAGGACAAGGCATATACATGCATTGGTTTAATTTGCCATATCTCATTAGTAAAGCAAGACAAACACCGGATTCATAGAAGCAGTTTACTTAATGGTGTATTATATAAAGGAAAAGGTTTTATGTAAGGATATAGTACAGAAAGAAAGATGTCCCTAGCAACAATCAAGACCACTATAAAGATCGACAAATATATAAATACAAACGAAATAGGGCAATAATACTTACCAATACAAAATATATAAAATGTTTAAAACTTGTATTTAAATGAGCTTCTTCTTGTAGATCTCGTACTTCAGAAAAATGCTGATAATAAATATGGGCGTAAACTCGAAATAAACGTTTTAATATCACTTTGACTACATTAAGAAAATCACGTGGAAATGGAGCACCTATTTAAAAAAACATATTTAATATTCAGATTATATGTCAATGATAAATATTTTAACAATGAATTGATTATTCTATTTAATAAGATACTAACGGTAGTATTTCATATGATTACATAATCATTCTAATGAGTGAATTCTTTGCAATTGAAGAATATACTTTTCAATTAATAGCTAAAAGAGTTTAACATATAAATAGTGATACAAAAGAGCACTGAATACATATACGCTATACAAGTCACTTGATTTGTGTGTGTGAGCTATGATACTATTTGGGTGCATACACCGAAATAAGTGGTTTCTTAAGGGAGCTTTCGATCTAAAAGTCTAATCCACAAGGCAGTGAAGCAACGTCAAAAAATGCAGTCACATGGTAGTCAGTGATCAACGATTGGTTCATACACCATTTGTTCCTTCAGGGTCATAAAGCCCATGTACATCATTGGTCTAGAATGAGGGTTTTCCAACTCCAATAGGTGGACTCTGGAGGTATCTAAAAAGGATATTGGATTAAAAGTGGTCTTAGTGACCCGAAAGCGTGACCGCAGAGCCCAAGGGCCAACTGCTTGAGGTTGGTGACACACGACCTTTTTATCGATAATTTTTGTGTTAGCTCTGTACTTGTTGAGACCTTACCGCCGGAGACGGATATCCGTGGAATAAGGTAGGGTGTGCATTTTTAAGGTCGACCTTTCCTAACCCCACTCCTCCTTGTGGGAAGGCACTATCGCTGTTACGCTGGTTGTCTGAAGGAAAGACCTTACTGCCGTCACACCTCTGTACAGTCAGCAGTACGACTTCGACCGACCTGTCTGGCATGGTAGGACATTGAGGAACGATTGTTCCAACCAGTATAGCTCGATTAGTTCATCACGATAGGCAAGCCCGACAACCACGTCAAGGTAGCAACAACGGTCGGGAAATTACTTATACATAAGAAATTGATCAAAGGGCATGATGGTTAAAACACTCGTCTGTTACAGATTCGAGCACAGTTTCAACAATTTTGGCTTTTGCAATCAAACTGTAGTACAAAGGGACTTGCTCTCTCCATATATATATATATATATATATATATATATATATATATATATATATATATATATATAAGTGTATGACTCAAAGTTGAATACAAAAATATGCAGTATTTACTCTGTTCACTTGGTCCCAATTCAACATATCAAACAAACAAAAACTGTGTATCATTGATTTTCTTTCCGATCGATTACAAACTTTTTAGTAAGATCTAGGTAACTATATTTTGTTTGAATTAGAAATGTTTAGTTTCATTTTTACTAAAAACCGTAACAATAAGGACATTATGAAATGACCTAGAGAAGGACAAAGAAACTGCCCATATCATCATTTTTTAAAAAAATGTTTATTTCTTGTATGATGTTTTCATAAAAAAACATCCAGACATCATCGGATGATTTTAACATGGCATGAAATATAGTTCGATAGACATTGATTTCATTGTATTACATATAGACAATTCAAAAAAAATATATTTGGGATGTAGTATTTCAGTTAAAAATATGAATATGAACAATGATCTGTGCGGATGTAAAGTAGCTGGAGGAGAAAATAGTGTCGAACGTCATTAAAGGTGGTGGTGGTGGTGGTTATCAAGATCTGGTCAACCATATCGTAGAAGGATAATTCTTCTCAAGGTAACTGAAAAGGTCGGTTTTTTAACGTTGTGAGAAGGTAACATCATTTGAAAAGCTGGTTATTTGGTGGAAATAACTTACTGCTGTCACATACCGCAGACCTTCAGGCTATCCGTTTACTGCTCTTAGTAATACTGATCTTAGACCGACCTGTCTGGTATGGTAGGACCTGAAAGAATAAGTATTTTAGCAAATATAGCTCGACCGGTTCGTCACGACAGAGATCCTGGACCACCACATCAAGGCAGCAGCTACAGCCATGAGGCAGTAAACAAGAGGCACCAGGATATATATTTCTAACTAGTTGACAGGAATCATCAACAAGGCGCATTCGGAATCTTGACTGGGCGAATGCCGCCCCTTGGTTTTCCAAGCATACATTGTCCAGTATTACTACCGAACTTAATGACAATAGTATCGATTGACCGAGGTTAGTATTTAGATTTCAAAGGGATTGATAGAATAAGATCAACACGAAAAACTAATCAAATATGAAACTGTTTACTGATTAGTGATAAGTCAGTCTAATGCTATGGTCACTGATTTATGGTGGTTTCGGGTCTTTGCAAGCACTCAACTCTCAGTAGTTGATGTTCCAATGTTTAGTAGCCTTCATAAATTAAAATACGTCCATACTAACACAGACAAACACATACACTAGCAATGGGTTAGTGATAATGTTTGATACAACAAAGCATACTGCGCGAAAAGAATAACTAATAATAATGATAACACCAGTTGGTTACGGATAGTTTTGGATTTAGAGTGTAGATAACTTGCAATGGTACAAGTTACAGTGCCTCATAAAATCATGATAATGATATCACATTCTAGATTTGAAGAAGATAAAACGACTTAGATAAACAGTATTTACGATTTCCTTGACTGATGCTGCTGGGTATGCTCTGTATATTGACATGATGACCTAATCAGAATTAGACAAATGAGGTCACTTGATAGCAATCAAAAGTGACTTGACGGGCAAGTGCATTTCATTGACTAAGAAATGAATTGACTTTCTAAGGGATAGAAATGTATTTATATAAGTGAGTATTTATGCATGTTATTCGGTAGCCCAATAGAATTTCTGTTCCACTTTTGTCTTCTTGTTCATATAGTCAATGTGAAGGATTAGCGCATAGCACGCTGTGTATCAGTATCAGATCTCCGATACCCACCATCATATCACATACACTGGTTTAAAAGCTCAAACATTATTTATATTACTTGTTATCATTATCTTCTTTTTCCCACTTTCAATTAATAGGTCCCTCTTTCGCTATGAAATTATTGATATAATTCTAAATCATTACATATTACTGTAGTTGATTCGTTATTTTCTAAATTTTATGGTTTGCTCATATCCAGTGGTAATACCATGTTAGTTATAATGACGTCATGGCCCTGTGACGGTCATTCAACTAATGTCACTGCCTTGAAATACTAACTTCAGTGGCTTGGATATACATCACGAATGTCACCGCAGAACATTTCTTATCGGGTATTAACTGTCAACGTCAAAACTGGATAGAAAAAGCGAAAAGATGATTAGTTTGTGACATAGTACCCTGGTATGAAAGAGAGTACTTTATGTTTAGCATATGTAGTATGTAATCGCTCCACTTAACATTAATAATAAATCAATCTAATAGTAATAATTCATAAACTAAAAACCTACCAATTTTCGATGGAAATATAGCTTCATTCTCCAATTGTTTTTGAATCCATATCATTAAACAATCAATATAATGTGGTGCAGAACATTTCAATGGTTTTTTCACTGTTTGTCCATCAGCCCAATGATATTCATACTTTGGACCAGCTGACATAATTGGACATGTATCATCCGTACAAAATTCAAGTAATGTACCATAAAGCATATTAATTTGGTTGAAAAAATCTACAGCTATAAGAAGATATACATATACAGTCATTTTTATTAGGTGAACAAATAAACAAAATAAATAGAATAATAGTGTTTGGTTAAGCATTAATTCTGCATAACAGTATGGTATTATATGATTACTAACGACCAACTCTGAGAAATGATTATTATTCCTGGAGTTTTAGTAGAAAACCGCGACCAGTAGACTTTAACTAGGTCGGCTGTGAGGAAGGTACTGGCTGAAGACAATGGAAAATGGTTAGACAATATTGTGGATTGATTAGAGTTAAACTTGTACACTTTTAGATCCCGACTTAGGGAAACCAAGGGTTCTGGGTTACACTGCTAATGATAGAATCGTGGAAGAGTCAAATACTAGGATGAAATAACTATCCAGTTCTTCGACATTTTCAATAGTCATCAAAATTAGATCGGTTCGTGATCTCAATACATATGCAAGGTTAAATATTATAGTAAAAAATATGTATAATTTTAATAGGTCATATTCAATTTGAATAAGAATCTTTTTTTCTCATTAGGAATTGACGTTATCAGAGTTGAACAACGATTAAACATAAGAAAGAGTGAACATTATACACTCACGAGACTTCACAGGATCAAACATATAACTCTATTGTGTTGATAATGAGAAAAATTTAATCTAATAAATGAATACATGAGAAGAATTTTAATACCATCAAAAAGATATTATTAATATGAGATCAGATTTAATTCCATTCACTACCTCAGACGTATTAGAATAGATCAATGAGAATTCGAAAGTGTACATTATATTAGTTTAGAATTAAGGTTTCTCAAATCCCTTATGTAGATCCTCAATATCCATCAATCTGTTTAAAGCGCTGGATATTCGTTTTTTGTCCAATTAATTTTGTAAACAACACTCACGTGATGTCAATGCAATCAGTACAACTCCCTTCTCATAGTGGTTATAAACACACCAAGAGAAGTTGATCAAACGGGAATGGGGTAATAAGCTTCTTTTTTACATGATATCAAGATGACCTTGGTAAAGTCAAATTAAAATTGTTTATTTAAAGTACAGGACTGAATATGACCAATCAATAGGTAGAAAGATCTTATTTTGAATAGACTTTATAATCCAGCAGCACGATGAAAAATTAGTGTCACAGTAGTTTGAATAACAGGAGGATCAGATGCAGACGTAAATGCGAGGATTGGTAAAGCAAGGACAGCATTTCTACAATTGAAGAACATATGGAACTCCAAACAACTGTCAGCTTATATCAAAGTCAGAATCGTTAATACAAACGTCAAGACAGTCATATTGTACGGAGCTGAAATGTGGAGAACTACTACAACCACCATCAAGAAGGTACAAGTATGTATAAATAGTTGTTCACGCAAGATACTCAACATACATTGACCGGATACCATCAGCAACAGCCTTCTATAGGAGAGAACAAACCAGCTTCCAGTTGAAGAGGAAATTAAGAAAAGACAACGGAAGTGGATAGGATATATATTACGGAAATCATCAAAAGGTATCAGGATCCAAGCCCTAACTTGAAATCCTGAAGGGAAGCGGAAAAGAGGAAGGTCAAAGAACACATTACGTCGGGAAATAGAAGTAGATATGAAAATGATGAATAAAAACTGGAAAGGATTGCCCAGGACAGAGTTGGATGAAGAATGTTGGTGGGTGGCCTGTGCTCCTCGATGAGGGTTATTAGGCGTAAGTAAGTAAGATTGACTAATACAGCATGAATAAATTAGTTATATAATTCAAGTTAACTGATTCTACAGTTAAAAATCATTGTTATTCTAGAATAGTTTAACGCTGTACTAAACAAAATGATAATATTGTAAAGGGAAACAATAGGGAAATATTGATAGAGGAAAGATATGATTCACTTGAAGTGAAATTGAAGAATCTGAAGAAAATTCATTTTATTTACATGAATAATATAACAATCAACTTAATACTTTGAGTCAATCAAATGATAAGTGCATGCTATTGGTCAAGATCTGACTTAATTTTCTAACGGACAAAGATAGATAGAAATATTCTCACTTCCAAGATTCTTGCTTAGTAGTTAGTTGGACATGTGTATATAAAGTTTGTGTATTAATACCAGAATAGGACATCGTGTAACATAAAACTAGAATAAGACTGTCATTAGATTCTATTCTAACCCATAACTAGCAAAATCTTAAACTGATAAGTTATACTATCTCTACGACATCAACTAGAGGAGGTAGCCAAGAAAGATTGATAAACGGTTTATCTATACAAGAATATTTTATACCACGACGCACTACATATAATACCAAAATAGTTTGTGGAGATTTTCTCAAATACATAAGAATACTGAAAATATTCTTCATTCTTTCTTTTCTTTTACTATTTAAATTTATGTTAATTTTATGTGAGTTGTTTATTTACTCTGTAGAAGTGGCTTAATTTAAGTTACAAAACATTAGAAATACAATTTTCTACTCATTGAAATATCACCAAAAAAAGAATATATTTTATCATTACATAAGAGTAAATAGGAATAGGTGACCACCTGTAAATTGTTGAAAAAATACATTCAACTTAAAGAATATGTGGTAAAGTACATTACTAACTGTAAAGTTTAGATGCTTTTAAGTTTAACAAAACCTTAACCATATGTTATAATAATACGTTCCATACTCTTTAGTTTACTTAGTTAGAATTATGAAACTAAGCAGAGATAATATGCACTAGTTCATCTTGAGTTCTTACATAATTATTTAATCTATTGTATGACATTTATTCATTATTATTATAAACAGATACAAAAAGGCGCCAAATATATATGTGCCACACAAATGATCCGATTAATGTGAGGGTTGGAATACCCCCCGAGAACTCGAACCGAAGCAAGTGGTTTCTTAGGGGTCCTAACACTGAAACTTTGAGCGCGTGGTTGTAATTGATGTTCAGGCACATGTAACACGTGGCCCAACCATCTCAGTCGATGAAGATTTACAACCTCATCAACTGATTTACCATTATTCAGCATGCATAAAATAATAGTCTCAATAACTAAACAAATACATCATTAGTGATAAGAACCAATAAGATTAAAATACAGTATCAGTCCAGAAATGTTAGATAACAACTAAAGAACAAAAAGAAAAGAAAATTAAAGTCAACTAATAGAATACTGTATATGAAAATTAGAATTCTCAGAAGGGGTTTTGTGGAGATTGTAGTAATTTCATTAGTTGAGATCATGAGTCACTTGAAGTTAGACCAACATGAGAAACCTGGAAGCACTGGACGGCCGTTTCGTTCTATTGTGGGACTCATCAGCAGTGCGCATTCACGACCCCGCCTCGCGGGATTCAAACCAAGGACCTATCAGTTTCACGCGCGAACGCTTAATTACTGGACCACTGAACTGGCCAGCATCCAACGGTTTAGATGGTGGTTGGAGGTAGTCAACAGGAAACCCTGGACCCGGGTTTCGTGCTACTTGGCACTCGTCAGCAAGGTGTACCTGTAATCTTGAGGGAACTGGTGCTTCCTGGCGGATTCGATCTCGTGTCACCCAGCTTCACAGTCAGAGACGTTACCACTGAGCTATCCGAGCCGTGACTAACCTCCTGTAGGACTGAGATGGAATCACAATTGATTGATCACTGGGTGGTGATCAATCAATTGTGAGCATCCAACGGTGTTTATGTCTAACTTTAAATAATCCACGAAATTAAGCGACACATCCATCATTGTCATCAGTGAGTTTCCACCTCACAACAGACCCGGTTACTAAATAACAATATTGAAGTAATCTCTACTTAAAATACAAAAAAAAGAAATTAAACTAATCAACTGTAGTTCTTCGAAATGAATACAAATTCTATTTTATTTAATAGTAATGAAATAGTAATAATGTATTTATGTAATCACTAAGGCTCTATTTCATTAATTGATTCACATTTCAAATCATATGGCATTGAAAATAACTGAATTCTTGTTATTTTTTTTGCTGTTTCTTTGACAAGTTAACAAATAAGACATAATTAGTAGTAACATGGTAACAAATAGGGGTAAAGGAGAGAGAGAGAGAGACAAAGAGTAAGATAAGGGAGAGATTAGACTAATTAATATGTATGTATTTTATTGTTGCTATGATCTTGATCACATACAGTAATCATATGGAATTGAACAATTCATAAAATTGTTTCAAAAACAAAACAAACAAACAAACATCTACGAAGATGATTGAGAAAAAACAAAAGAATTCGTATATAATCAATGTTTATTGATGAATAAAATTATGAAATTTAGATCAAATGTAAAATGCACAAGAAGAACATGTGATTTTAATCTATGAATTAAGAGAACATTGATAATTGATCTATTGATGAATAGTTTTGTTAATCTTTGTAAGATTGATGCATATGATCATCAACGTCATCATCTTTAGTTGATATACATGTGTGTGTGTACGTAATTCAATAATGTATACATCAGAGTAGAATATGTAATCGTTTTGTCAAAAAAAAATCATCAAACAAGTTGATGATGGCAACGCTACCAATAATAGTAAACTTTTATAACTCTACTTAAGTGAAAAAATGGATAGTTACTAGTACGAGAAATTAAGACTGGTAATTCGTATTATTCGAGACTCGTCAGTTGTATGTACCTAGATCTCAGTGTTGATGTTTACACCGAGACTCAAACCTAATGTCAATGTAAACAAAACGTTATTAGGTCTAAATAAACGTTAGTTTATGAAACAGGGATGAATTTCAATTAGTTTATAAGCGTTTGATGACGATGATCAATATTCTTTGGAATGTATGTAATACTGAACTGATTGCCTCAATATTCTCATAAAATCGCAAGTAATTCAATACAATTGGACTTAAGAATTCGGTGAATGACTCGTTGGGCAGTTGAAATGAAAAATGACAGTCCCTAGGTGAACAATAACACTGTGATACAAGTCCTAAATAGAAAGAAAAGCGCTTCCTGAATCCTACTGATAGTTACTATCCAACTTTACTAAAATGCTTGTGAATATCTGGTAATATTGAGGCACTTCCACTCAACATATACATATGTCAAAAGAAATTGATTAACTGAAGTCTTGAACATCAAAAATGAGCGGATTCAAACCCTTACAGATACAGGTGTTATTTTACTGTTCAGTAAATCATGAATGGGTTATTGAAAACGGTAAAATTACACTACACTGACGAATTATTCAAATTTAAGATAGCGATCATTAGATTGCCATGTGTTTTGCGAGAAGTTAAGTAAAACCTACTAGTATTTAGTTACTAATACACGCTACCAAATGCCCTGGTACGACCGGGAGTAGGGAGAGTCATCTCTCCCTCTCGAAATGCTCACAAATGGCCACGCGTATATAGCCACTACCACGGAAGTCCTACTCACTGTCTTCTTATGGTATTACTATTATTTACGAAATTGAAAGGACGAAAAGCGAATGTCCGATGCTACAAACAGGTTGGTGGACACGAGAGTCCACCTCGGGGAGTTGGAAAACCCTGATTCCAAACAAATGGTGCACATGAGCTCCAATATCCTGAGGGAACAAATGGCGTATGAACCAACTTTTGAAAACCGGCTAAAATGGGACTGCATTCTTTAACGTTGCGTCATTGCCTTATAGATTAGATTTTTAAGTCAAAGGCTCTGAGTGCGGCCCCCTAATGAAACCAGCCGCTTCGGTTTGGGCACCCGGGCAGTATCCCGGCCCTCACATAAATCGATTGATTTATCTATTTGGTGCCTCCTTTCACCAGTGTTTATGTGTTTAAATAAATAAAAGAAGTACTAAAACACACAAAAATTAAACAAATCGAACCATGATTTGAGATTTTTTGAAGAAAACTTGATATTTAAAATCAATCAAATCATTTTAGTAATGTACATTGAATGAATAACCTACGTAGAAGGGTAAGTGAACTTAGAATATTTAAGTTCAACCGATAGTGATTACGACTTCTTGGTTGGAAGTGGTTAATAATAACCCATTCAATGTCAGTTTTACATTTTCATTCAATTCGGTGATGAATTGGATATATATATTATATGAGTAGTAACAGTACAAGTCATTGAGGAAAGCACCCAACTACGTCACAAGGTAAGCATGGAATTCTAAAGGTTAAAACAAAAGAGGAAGACCGGAGAACACATTAGACCGAGAAATGAAGACAGACATGAGAAGAATGGATAACAGTTAGATAGAACTAGAAAGGAAAACCCAGGACAGAATGGGTTGGAGAATGCTTATCAGCGGCCTATACTCCATTGGGAGTAACAGGCGTAAGTAAACTAGTAAGTAATTAAAACAGTACAAGTGGTAATAGTAAATACTGCAGGGATAGAGAATGAATTCTAGCAATAAACCGCAGAAGATAATTTTAAAACTCAAAATCTAGGAATATAATGAATGGGTCTAGAATGTTACCGCTGATTGTGAGGTATGTCATTCAACTTCCACATTAATTGATCAAAATGATCTTTAGCCATTCTAACATGTTTCAGTCTAATATTCAGTGATTTCATAAACATTACGGCATGTCTTGCTCTGACTCTATTTCACTACTACCATGTAGTTATTAATATAATCAAAAAGAAATCTTCGTTTTAGTACATAAATTCTTAAGAAGACTTAAACTTAAGATTCAATGATCCAGTTCTTTTTTTATAGAGTTTGTAGATTTTAATGGATTAAATCTATTTTTACTCTTAAGTTAAAGAATGTTATATTTATGCATTATTATATGATCTATGCTAGAATGTAACCATATTTAAACTACTTGAGAACTATGTTTAGAAAAAGAATTCGATATTACATTTATAGGAAATTTGATATTTTATTTTTAATCTTAACGCATGCACAGCAGTTGTCAAGATAACTTGGTTTTTTTTAAAGAAACTGCTATCTTATTTAGTTTTGAAACCCATCCCATTCATTCTTGTTAGGTTAGTGTTATATCCCAATGAGAATGATGAATGATAATTGTTAGGATCTATTTATGGACTAATACTATACGTATATTTTTATTGTATAATTGTTAAGTAGCTAAAATATTCATATTCATGTCCCTCTTATTATGAGCTTTATTTTCATCTATGAACTACTATTATACGATTTACCATTTTTTGATTAATACCCAGTCTGTCATTCAGTAACAACGTAGAACTTCGTACGTACGTACATCAGTCCGAGTTACCATACCACATTAGCACAGAGATGCTGTTGTCGATTCAAATCCCGTAGTGGTATAGGTAGTAAGAGTATAAGCAGTAATCGGAAACATTAGGGTTTGAAGATGTCATTTAAAGAGCATAATCCAGTGAGATAAATTTAGAAAGAGGAAAAAAAGGACATGAAGAATTCAGAACATTAGAATTTGGGAGAACACGAAGAGTGGATGCACCTGCGCCATCGCAAACGATTTTGAGCTATGTCATTCAGGGTCTCTAACCATCGGTTGCTATCATCTCGCGGATCCCAACCAGGTAGTCTACACGTACCAACATGACTCAGCTCATAGACTTGTGCCATGCTTTGGTCTGGCCGCCCCTACCTTTCTTTCAACCTAATCCTATACCATTGAACATCGCACGTCGAGGCAGTCGGTGGTTGGGCATACGTAACACGTGTCCCAGACATCTCTACTGATGAGGTTTCACTACTTCATCAATTAATTTGCCATCCTCATCTATTACTCGTTTCCTAACAACTGCGCTACTTACTCGATGGTCCCAGGATATACGAGCAATGTTTCGAAGACACCTATGATCAAATACTAGTAACCTACGAATATCCTCTACTTTTACCGGCCATGTTTCACTGCCAGAAAGTAGGACGGAACGAACTGCTGCGCAGTAAATACGTCCTTTGGTTGATAGACGAATATCTCGCCTACTCCATAAATGACGCAAGTTGGCAAAAGTTAGTCGAGCCTTCTGTATCCGTGCTGAGATTTTGTCACACACCAGACCACAAGGGCTGATGAGACTTTCCAGATAAATGAAGCGGTCGACACGTTCAACTACTTCACTCCCAGTCTATCTATTACTATCTCCCACAATCACAGCCACTTTTGGCTAGATCTTGTACAAATGTTATTTTCTATTTTATGGTAAGGTGAGGTCTGTTTGGCTGATGTATATAAACCCAGTATTTTAAATACATGAGTGATCTCGCAGAGGCTGAGATTGGTGTTCTGAACTTAACAGGCAGGGCTAGGCGTGAAGCAGGACCGGTAAAGAATCTAGACTGCTCGTAAGGGTTCTATGCATAATTGGTCCGGTCGATAATTCACTCTGCTGTAATTGGCGGTATCATTACGTTATACATTAACCCACAAGTTATAACAGTTAGTACCGTTAATTTTTTATTGTCACAGATATTATTGCAATTTTAACGAACGAACACTTAGATGATGAAGATCAATTTATTGTTTAATGCACAATCATCAAATAGTGGTTTAGTAAAATGTGATAATCATACATCATTTGCACATCTTTGAATTGTCTCTTATAAACTTTATTGTTCTTTCATTCCTGTTTTTATTTGGATTGTTTTCAGTTTCCTTCTCTGTTCTCTTTGTTTCAATCCTCTTAATGTTCTGCTCCCATACATTTCACTTCCGACTGGTGTTACATGATACTTATACTTGTAGACATAAGAGCATACACCATACTACTACTACTGCTGCTGTGGTGTGTGCTACTTATATTGACATAAGTAGTAGATCATGTTAGTCGTGAACAGAAGGTCTGGCAGCAGAGAGACAAGAGGATCGAACAGTAAAGAATGGGAACAGAATGCAATTTGTATGAAAATGCAAGAACAATGAAGTCCGAGTCATTTTGAGACAATTGGTGGACATTTTGCAAATTAAGCATTTACTTTATGATTTTTAGATTTTATCAACAAGTCCTGTAATTTTGTGTTAAATACATTCTATTGTCCCCACTGGTGTTCTTGTTCACTAAACTACTACTTCTAATACTAAGATATTCAACTCGCTGTACTGATGCGGTGTCGCAACTTCAACCTATATGCCAGGTTATAAGTTTTTTATGATCGATATTAAAAATAATTCAATACAATCTTTACATTTAACAATTGATTCAACAGTTTGAAATCCTTCGCTTCGAAATTGCAGGAGTGTCATTAAGAGTCAGTTATCATACGTACTGTGCATAGCAGTCTAACAAACTAAGTTCTATGTAGTGAATTGTAGTTGTTTAGTGAATACATTCATAGTGAAGATAAAGTAACAAAATCATGCAGGGATTTCGTCAATAACCACAATCCAAAAAAGATGATAAAATGTCCAAGTTAAATGAATTAACTAACACAATTCATTACTTCATCTATTATTACCGACGACGCATTAACATAAACCCAGATACTATATAAACACCATCAATGTAGAACCTAGCAGGAATATGAGTTGATCCAAGCCCTCATGACATATTAGCACAATGAGAGAAGATTGACAAGCTGGATAGTAAACAATATCGAAATAATGTTGTGGCAATCATAACTACAAAGACTAAATATTGAAAATCGGGTTTGAAAAGACTGAATGGAAAGGTATTTTTTCAACAAAAAAAAAGATTGGAATTCAAAGAGGAAGAAAAAGAGTGAATATATCTTTCCCATGATAAAACAATTCTAAGCTTTATCACTCAAATTTTCCAATCATTAGTTATGGTTATCCGATGGACTATAATCAAATGGTTTGTATTTACGATTATGGTTCAGATTAACAGTAAATGATTTTATAAACCAAACGGATACTATTTCTCTAGATAGCCAGTCAATCATATAGATTAACAAATACAATAGTATAAACCTATTTGTATATATTATCAATGAAACAATTAACAAATCAGTAATATTATTAAATAGAATAAACTATACTAAACTTACTGTTTATAGCAATCCATTCATGTAGATCTTCACCTTCAGGTAGACGAACAGCTAAACGTAAATCTCCACTACCCAATGTTGCAGCAGTTTCTGGTAATAAATCATTTTGTTTACCATTGACATCATGATTATTATTATTATTACCAATAGTAGGATTATGATTACTTGTATTAGTAGAAGGATTATTATTATTATTATTAGTTTCAGAGATATTTTTACGTGGTTTGAATGTTTTGCTGCATAATCGATTACCGCTAAAAAGTTGTGATAATAATTTAATATTAAGCATATAATCCATTATAAATATAAAACAATATCTCTATGTACTATTATTATATCATAACATATTATCATTAGTATATTGTACGGAAGTTATATAACTATAGGCATATATATATATATATATATATATATATATATATATATATATATATATATATCATACAGTAGAGAATATACACAAAATATAACAACCTACATGCACATAAAACACTGAATTGAACACGTTTTTGAGTGGATATTTCAATATATAACAAGTGTAAATTTAATAGGTAACAATAATGATGATGATGATGATGATAATAATAATAATACTAATACTCTTATCAAAATAATGATATGCGCATAAATATAAATAAAAGAAGTTTGTCAGTTAGTAACAACAACAACACCAACAGCAACAACGAAAAAAAAGAAAACAAAACAAAAAAGAGAGAAAAGGATCAATTGAAAGAAAATAGAAAAGTTTTAATTTCTTTTCTTTATATTATTTATAATCCTTTTTATATGATAAATGTATCTTGTGACTTTCTTCATTAGAATATGAATAATGACAATGAAAGAATTAGTATAACAAAACAAAACAAAATAAAGAGATGTATATATATAGATATAAGCTGACGTTCATATGTACACTTATTGGCTCATTTAATTATTCAATCAAAGTTAATGAATTAGATAATTTCATATTATGCATATCATTAAAATAGTTTGTTTTTTTTTCTCTTCTATAATAATAAAGAAGTCATCATGTGAACAGATCAATATACACAACTATATATACAGATTGTACTATTTTTGCACCGTACTTTGACAATTAACAATAATCGTATGTTAATATGAGGTAAGTAGGTTGTAATTTTCAAAAACAACAACAACAACAAAATAAACACAGGGGATTTATAATATATTGTAATATATATGCAATCGAAATGATTAAAATTAAATCTCACTGATTGGAATCATGAGTCAATTGAAGCTAGACCACCATGGGAAACCTGGAAGCACTGAACGGCCGTTTCGTCCCAGTACGGGACTCCTGAGCAATGCGCATCCACGATCCCGAACCCCGCGAGATTCGAACCCAGGGCCAATCAGCCTCGCACCAGGCGCTTAACCAACTAGACCAATGAGCTGGCCGGCATCCAACGGTGTTAATGTCTAACTTCAACCAATCCACGAAGTTGCGCCACCATACACCATTGTCTTCAGTGAGTTGATATCTCACAACAGACCTGGTGCGGGATCGTGGATTTGCACTGCTGAGGAGTCCTATACTGGGACGAAACGGCCGTTCAGTGCTTCCAGGTTTCCCATGGTGGTCTAGCTTCAATCAACTCATGATTTCAACCAGTGAAATTTCTAAAATCTCCACAAAACCCCTTCTGGTAAAATCAAATCACTTATATGTTACAAAAAAGGATTGATTGAACTTAACGTTCGATGATATATGAATAATATGAACTTGGTGATAACGGACAATTTAGTTAACACTTAATGAATTTCATAGATCAATTACATACAATGTAGAACTTCGGGAATATGCACATCCGTTCAAGTTGTCATATTTAGTAGGTAAGTGGATAAAATAATAGTATATGAAGCGAACAGTATTCAGTTTGAGTCCCGCAAAGAATATCAATTCTAGGATGCAGATACATCTTGTTGACAAGTCTCAAATACGATGAAATGTGCGTCCTGAATTCCACTGCTAACCACCATTTATTTTTGCCCCCGATATACACTGGTACGGCTGAGAAGTGGAGAGAGTCAGCTCTTCCTCTCGAAATGCCCTCACATGACCATGTGTATACAGCCTCGGTCAGGGAAGTTCTAATATTGCTTTCTCGCGGTGGGGTATTGTTTGCAGAATTAAGAGGACGAAAAGCGAATGTCCGGCGCTCTACTCGGGTTGGTGGATATGAAGGATTCACCTATGGCAGCTGGAGAACGCTCAATCCAAACATGTGATGCACATGGACCCCAGGGTCCTGAGGAAACAAATGGTGTATGAACCAAACGTTGATCACCGGCTACCATGGGATTGCATTTCCTGACGTTGCTCCACAACCTTGTGGATCAGATTTTTAGATGGAAGGCACCGGGTGTGACCCCCTAAGTAAACCACTTGCTTCAGTTTGGGTGCCCGGGGAGTACTCCAGCCCTCGCATAAATCGAATGACTTATGTGGCGCATATAGATTTGGTGCATTTTTGTGCCAATATTTGTGTTTGAATAAATTAATAACCCTATTAGTACATCAAGTTAACACTATCAGGGCAAATTCAAAAGTGGTAGATGTGGCAACAGAAAAGACTAGACATCGAACACACTATTCGAGAAAATATAAATTTAGTGAAATATAAAGTATTTGTAAACAGTTCAATACTTGAGGTTTAAGGGAAAACAAAGTGTGAACGCACCTAAGCTACAGTGAACGACTCTGAGCCATGTCATTCACTCTCTACACCAGTCATCATTGCCCGTCGAGGTAGTCGGTGGATGGTCATATTTAATGCATGTCCCAGGTACCTCAGTCGATAATGATCCACTAAATCGTCAATCGTTTTGCCATACTAACGTAGTACTATGCATATAACCTTAGAATTTCTAACTTGATGTTCCAAACAATTTATTCGAGGACACGTAAGATTGAATACCAGTAACCCATGAATATACTCTATTTTTAGACATTTCCCAGTTAAAGCCGAACAGAGCTAACTGCAGCACAGTGGATGTTTCGTATCACATATGAGAACATGAATATGATAGTCAGTGTTATTATCAATATCTGAAATAATTTCATGAGAGCTTATCATTAAAATTAAATCGTTGATGTCCTTAATTACCCGATACATTTTCGATGACCATAAAGAAACTATTGGCTTGTTATATAAACTATCCTCAAAGAAATACGTTATGTCAATCTTTATGGTATTTCAAATAAGGTGGAGATCAGAAACATGGTAGTCGCTGAATGTCCTGATGTTATTTTGGTCCTAAAATTATGGTTAATATCAGAAATATGCCACAATTAAATGGCACTGACTCGATTCTCGAACTGTGGAACTGACAGAATAAGTCGTAGAGATGACCGTTCTATCCTTTACTAGAAGAATGTTTTAACTATACGAACTCTTGAGACAGTGACATGTGATTCACAAACACTTTAATTGGTGATGTATCGGCTAAAATATAAAGTAGGACATGAAACTGTTAGTATTATGTCGCAGCTTCGAATGTACAGCAAATAGTTTCGTTTTTGATAAGCTCCGTTTCAGATCAAAAAGGTTCAGCAAACTCGTTTGATCAGGGACTATTGTCAACCAATCTTACTCTAGTTCAGAATATTAGAGATCTTATCAGAAATGACTTACAAACACTATCATTGACTTAATTCTCACTCACGAACACAATGTTATTCGACGTAATCCCTTCTCAATTATTTGGAGAAGTGACCACTGCCTCTTCCTAAGACTGGACAAAGGACTACAGAGCATCAGTTTGAGAGGTATGGGGTCGTTTCGGGAAACTAAAGCCAATATTTATACCTTGGAAAGACCCAAAAGCAAGAACGACTCTGGATTAGCCATAAAATTTAATGCTTTTTGCAACTAAAGAAAAGAACAGAGAGACATCATTGTCAGTCTCCGTACAGTTGATTCAAGGGAACTTTACCAAATCCGTAACTCACGAAAGAAACGTAGAAATCAACTCTCACGAATTTTAATAAGGCATGTGTGGCGCATATATATTTGGTGCCCTCTTGTACTAATATTTACGTGTTCAAATAAATATAATAAATAAGTAATAAGGCATACAATGTCACTACTCTTCTATGTTGATTACAAGATAAAAACGAACCAATGAATTTCCGTTATAATTAAGGAAGTTTCTCAGACGATAGATAGAACAAAGCAGAAGCCATGTGCAATTACTCAGGCAACGTCTTTACTCATAACCTCCTTCTTTTTACAGATGGTGTGTTGAATCCATTAGGCTATTTGGATACAGAAAAATCAATACGGATGGATGAGCTACCGGTGAGACTATAATTTACAGAAGAACTTTGAGTGACGAGACTGACCTTGAGTGTCCACCTGATAACCAGGACCAAATGAGGGTTATAAACCCATGTGAGGAATTGGAATTATGATTTGCAGTTTATAATTTAGGTTAGAAATTAGATTTAGGGCTTTCATCATGAACTGACATCAGTTTTAATGCCAAAACTCTACTTAGCCAAACAGATGAGTGAATTTTACGCGAAAATCCGAGTTCTGTTATCTTACATGTGATTGGTTCGTCAGTAAATTATAGTCTCGCCCATTTTTCATCCATTACATCATATCACATCACAACTTGGGATATAGGTGGCTGCCTCCCCTCACCACGATATTCGAAATGTCACTCAGTTAGTGTGTTACCAAGACTAGAAAGATGCGACAGTCACTCCGACACATGGAACGGAGTATAAATAACATCTATCCAACTACAGACTAAGTCTCACTTGTGTTGCAATCAATACATTTCAGTCATTATAAAGAATACTATAATCTTTATAAACGCCCACAGCTTACTAAAAAGTTAACAGCATGGCTTCAGAAATGGTCGACAGCATATGATAAATCTTTTACCGACCAAGCATATCTGAGCAGATTAACTAAATAGCAAAAAGTCATTGGATATAATTCCAATAGACATTAAAAAAGACTTCGATAGGCTTCCGTATAATAGGCTCTCAGTGAAGCTGGCAAGTTTAGGAATCTTCGAATACTTGTTTAGGTAGTTTAGAGACATTTTGGTCGGTCACCCACAGAAAGTTTAAGCTAATTGCAACATCTCTTACTGGATACCAGAACTTAGAAAAGTACATCAGAGCCTACTGTCATTTATTCTGTCAACGAACCTACATTTATCATGCTACACCAATGCTACTTTATGGCGATAACATCAAGTTATGGTCAGATCATGTGTATCCATTCCATACAGACCACAAAATTCTGGTGGGCTGGTCCAAGTTATAGTTAATATTTGCTAATCAAACTAAAAGCGTCACCATGGACAATGGACACAAACGGCCGTAACTGCAAATTTAGAGAAACTCCTGACTTTATCCCTAACTTATGGTCACAGCACACTTAAGTGTTACAACTACAACTCTTTGATGTGAAGTTGCGGCTGAAAGGATGTCAAGACTAACCATTTACAAAGTCAAGTACAATTCCGTTCACTAAGTTTTCCACAACCCTTATGGGGGCTAAATTTAAAATGTGTACTACTTCCAGGTCCTTATTTAAGTAATGACACAGAACTGAGAGAGGATTTATTTATGACATAAAGGATGGCAAGGAATGACTAATTAATTCTCTTTCTGTCTTCCACCTAGGTCAGGACAACTTGGAGGGTATGGGAAAAGCCAAGAATGAACAGGATCTACAAGGCGTGTAGACTTTTTATCACTGCGTAATGAACGCTTGAATTTTGTGCAAGAAGGAGGAGTGTCTACACTTTTAATCAGCTCGTTTAAGAGGTAAGAGAGGTGAAGGAAAGGATAGACAGACTCCCTACCATCTATCCACAAAGCACAAATCTGTCTGATCGAAGGTTGGAGACCTTACAAGATACAGCTAAGAACAGGTTGCCGTATTACTCCGATTTATTAAATGCTGTGGTCTGGATACCACATTTATAGCCGCCCCATGCTATTAACAATGAGTTTTGAATCATGTCCTCAATGTTGAAGCCTTAATAATATCACAGCTTCAGATTATTTGCTGTGCAGCTAGTTGATTTTATAAGTCTGTGATACGAGCCTGCGGAAAATTGGACTTAATCCTATGTTGATGAAGACGGACTTCATTCAACAAACCTGATAGCTCTACGACAGAACTTAGTTTCCATTTATTTGTCTGTAGTAACTGCAAATCCTTGCAAATTATTTGTTAACGCGAGCAAAGTGATATTGACTTAATTAACTTAAATGGGTTTAGTGTAATCCATAAAAGAGTTTGGTATGGAACAGACATGATTCAAAAACTAGCACTTATTTTATACATGAAATAAGCACTCTCATATTTTATCCAAACCGAAGTATAACCAAAAACTGTACACTTAAGGTCCATGTTATAGCGGATGCAGTTGTTACTCCATGTGCAACTTACAATAGGAAATTCATTGCACATAGTAAGATTGAGATGAAGTACCGCACAAGTTGAAAATCGTCGCGATGCCAAATCTCCAATATTTTTTCCATGAACCTGATATAAAGTGACTGCTTCCTTCACATTCACACAATGATTCAAATGGTTCAAATGGTTGTAAACGAATAGAAGAAGCTTTCGCTTAACAGGCTTCCGTGTCTAGTAGCAGGGGATCACCAAATCCACCAGGCAGGAACCTAGGTATGTTAACATTAAAAGAGGAAAAGAAATTAGTAAATCATAGTGTGATACTATCCTTAGACCTTTAGAATGGATCAAGTTGCCTCTTAAAAGACTCCTGGGAAGCCGCTTGGACTAGCTCGGCCGGCAGCGCATTCCAGCATTTTACAACTCTTAAGGAGTGGAAGTTGTGTCTACAGTCCGTCTTGCTATGTTGTGTTTCCAGTTTCTGGGTGTTACTCCTTAGGTTATTATTCGAAATAAGCTTAAGTAGGTGTTTAAGAGGATGTCCAGAAGTGTTAAGAATACTATAAGCCATTAATAAATCACCTCTAAGACGCCTATACTCTAATGGGTAAAGGTCTAGTTAATGGAGGCGTTTTTCGTAAGGTTTAGATTTGAGTCCTCGAACTGATTTCGTGGCTCGCCGATGAATACGCTCCAGGGTGTCCTTATCCTTTTGGAGTGAGGAGGGGAGTACTATGTTTCCGTACTCTAAATGGAGACGGATAAAACTATTGAAGATTATATGGAAAGTTCTTCCGTCAAACTGGTCAAAAATGCGCTTCAATGTTACCAATGCAAGGTTTGCTCGGAAGGCATTTTTGTCACAGTTAGCGTAAGACTTTAAATCGTAGGGCACCAGGACTCCTAAATCTTTTTCGACTTGGGATACTACTAGAGAGGAGTTACCTAAGTTATAACTGTCGTCTGCGACATGTCGCAGATGGACTACTTTACACTTCGAAGTGTTAAAGGTAAGTCCATTATCGTCTCCCCAGCTTTGAAGTCGAGTCAGATCCTCTTGAAAGGCCTGTGTATCATCTCGGTTGCGTATCTCTCTCCAAAGTTTCACATCGTCGGCAAAAATTAATAAGTCTGACGTTACCTGTTGAGGAAGATCATTTATGTGGATCAAGAAGAGAAGAGGCCCTAGTACTGAACCCTGTGGGACCTCACTAGGACATTCCATAGCCTGAGATAAAGTGAAATTAACCCCGACCTTAAAATGTCGATTTTTCAAGTATGAAGTGAGCCAATCGATTAGAGGTGGTCTGATACCCAGTCGTTTGAGCTTATTGATAAGACATGTATGGTTAACCTTATCAAAAGCTTTTGGGAAATCTAGGTAGACGATATCAACCTTCCCCTTGTGATCAAGGATGCTTGTCCATCTGTCCACCGCAGTCAGCAAGTTGGTAATACAAGAGTAACCCTTCCTGAAACCATGCTGTTGGGGTGAGAAGAAATTTAAGGACAGTAAATAGTCATTTATACCATCGCATATCGGGGACTCCACGATTTTTGAAGGTATGGAGAGAAGAGCCACTGGTCGGTAACTTGGAGGTTCTCTGCGTCGACCTCCTTTGATAATTGGTGTGATGTGAGCCAGCCTCCAATTTTCCGGTAGTTTTCCTCGACTTAGCGAGTGTGAGAACATCACGCTAAGCGGCGTTGCCAAGATTGTGGCTGCTTCCCTCAGTAGGGCGGAATGGATCATGTCCGGGCCAGAAGTGTCTAATCTTAAGTGTTGCAGTTTCCGGAACACCAGGTCAGCGCTTAGGTTCACTTCGGAAAGTTCTGTGGAATTTCAAACGAAACTGTCATAAGTAAAGTTAATGTCGGCCGGTTGAAATATCTGGGAGTAATGTTCAGCCAGAAGGTTAGCGGCGTCGCCACCGTTGGTCGGGCCGTTAAGACCTACTAGTTGGGAAACTGCAGTTTTGGCTTGACGAAGAGAAGCTGCCTCCAAATCCTGATTTTTTATTATTGCGGAACAAAGACATCCCAGGCAATGCTAACTCATGGTCCGAGAACTGAGAAGATATCCAGGTTTCAGATATTCCTATCAGATGGGCTTTATTAGTATTACTCAGTTCACGTAGTTCATCCAATTTGTTTGGTAGACTCACTGCGTTCATATATAAGCAGTTAATGCTTTCAATTTGGAACGCGTGAGCTTCTTCCTGTTTGTTCGTATGAGCCTTACGTGAATGGACAGGTAGGCCCTGTCCTTCACACGTTTTTTTATCGTCTGGACAGTCCACAAGTGGAATGGTTAGCTCCAACTTGCCTTTGCGTTTGATCCTAGCTTCGTATGGCCTATCCGGGTGCATGTGGATTCCAGGTGGCAGTCGACGTCTGTTGGCACGAAATACTTCCAGGGTTGCAGCCGCCATATGGGAAGATGGGAAGGTTATCTTCATTAGACGGGGTCTAGAATCACCATCCTTCTTGGCTAGTCTCGTCACATGCTGAGTCAGTATGTTTTTGAGCCTCAAGGACTGTTTGATGAATTTCTATTCCCTGATGTCAGTCTTTAATTGAGTAGGGTCCGTATTTTCCGGTATACCTTGCACGATTATAGTCCTCACCTGGAAAAACTGATCGCGAGTTTCTTTGGGGATGTTTCGGATGAGATTGCGCTCAGAATACGGTATGTCAGGCAGTATTCTTACATTCCCGTCTGATTTCAGTAAACGACTCGCTAGGAAGACATCCTCTACGTCGGTAGCATTCTTAAGTGTTACACGAAGTAGCCTCGGGTGATTTTTATGCTTAGGCTCCTTTCCCCGAGTGAGCCGTGTGACTGTCAAAGGCTCTATTATTGGAAGTCCAAGTTTCTTGTTCAATTCTCCCCAGAGCATCCTATCATTTTCGCCCTGCAAACTGAGAAGAAGGTCAGGGTTGTCTTTGAAGCTATGACTACGAGAGAGTCATCACGAACCGTTATTGTCGTCCCAGGTTATCCGATGCGTTCAGGTTTAGCACCTTGTTGTATGAGGGTCGAAGCACGCTTATGAATCCTTGGATCTTTGATGACCGGACGGACAATCTAGGGGGTAGACCGTGCGGCCAGGTCACTAGTTGACTACCGTTCAACAGCTGGGATGTTCAACTTAGACTGTGACGCCTCTCCCTTTTTAGCTCTTTTGACATGGGTTCAACCACCTACAGAGTTTTTGGGAACCACAGTCGCGTTCAAGGACCTTGAGCTGTGAGACCCGAGTTTGCTGAGGGAGTCAAGTACCGTCGTCGTAATCATGGTGCCGAGTTTCAGCGCGTCATCATTATTGCTGTTGCATGCTCCGTCGTTGGTAGACCTGTCGATATCCCTGTTCTCGTTTTCAATGCGCTCTCTTGTTTGTTTACCCATTTTTTGACTGTTTTTTCCCAAGTTTGCCGACAGCTTGCTATGCAGACCTGTCAGTAGGACAATGATATTATTCAGCACGACTGCAGCATCCGTGCTGCACGCAACACATTCCCACTTATGATCCGACTTGCTGAGTCTGTTGTAAGCAGTTGCTGTGAGATCTGTGCACGCTTCGTGGAACCAATCTCTGCAGTTGTCGCACTGCATGCTAGATGTAATGGCAAAACCGCATCCAGGTCGTTTGCATGAATTTTTCATGACTGTATTGACGTAAACTGTGTTGTAGATGCTAGCAAGAGCCTGAGACCGTAAAACATACTCTAAAAATCACACTGAAAAGGGACAAAAATTGATAAAACGGATGAGATAAACTGAACTAGTCTTAACGCGAAAAACAGAGAAAGAAAACAGAATAGTAAGCTGAGGTAAAACCACAGTTAACTATTAAATTAGGTGAAACTCAAGAAAAGCAATCTACCGAACGTTTAGCTCAGGATAGACTCTTTTGGTCAGAAATGGTACTTTTGTTGCGTAAGAACACAGCAAAAGTTTGATAAATGCAAATCACGTTAAGACTAAACTTCCCGTTGGAAAAGCGCGGGATTTTCCGGGATGTTAATAAGTAAATCTAAGTTTTTGGTAGCTTCCAGCGAGGTGTTTTGCCATTTTAACTAGACAATGAATTTCCTTATAGGTTTTCATATATTTAAGCATGTATGTGAAATGAACTAAGATTAGTTTGCTTCAGTTGCTTTAGAAATGAAGATCTGTTAGTTTTTCCTAGTCTATGCGCTAAAGGCCAGATTTCAGTTGACAAGCTAGTGGAACTTTATTAGTGCTTTAGTAAATTCTCCTTCTTGATAGGCAACAGATACGAGTTATGTCAGACGCAAATTAATCAGTAGATTATTACAAAATTTCGATCACCTCACCTCTACTCTTTCTACACTATAAGGTGTAGTGACCTACTTATATCAACAGAACGCGATTGGTGTAATGGAAACAATCACTACTATAACCAATTGTACCAGAAATTGTTTCACTGTACTTGTTTGTTTAACTGTACTAAGAACATACATTATTGATTGTGACCTTGCATGAACTTACGTTTGCTCAGTAGTTCCACTTGTACTCTTTTGGCACGATCTCGGTATTCTTTCGATACCACGAGATCGCCAACAAATACATCCCGACTGCAGCCATCAACTGCCTTCTGATATTTGGCCTACGAGGGATCTTATCGTGTAACTGGCACGTAGTCTTCCTGTAGTGGTGATCATAGTCAACCGTGACTCGACGCTACACAACAAGAGTAAACAAATGTACCTTGTCTAGTCTTTCATCACACGACAGCAATGCGATTTCGCGAATCAACTTAATGGTTATCTTCTGAAACATTTCCAACTACCTGTAGAGCTTTCACTACTAATAGAATTGTGCATGGCTATGAACATCTGGTCTAAGCTGACTAATCGATGAAAGGGATGCGTAGCAAGGCGTCACTACTCACGATGTGGTACAGATCCGTGACCAAGCACCTTCAGCTAGATGAGTCCATTGAAACTAATGCGGACAGCATCAAATATTGAGGACTTAGAAAACTGTTTATCTTGGGACTTTACTTACCTCTACATGCTCAGATTTTTCCAAGATAAATCTAGCGAGCCTGCCGACATCATATCTACCTTCAGTAGGTTTAAAATGATGGATACTTCAAGAAGATACAACTAGACCCCACTTTTTGAAATGTTCGGACTACCATGGGATTCAGATTGATGAATTTTTGGAAAACGCATCCCTTGGTTTTTATTGCATCACGGCGTAGTCCTTCCTTGTTCTATTGTAAGCTGGTATGAAGCGATCTGATTTGTATAGCAGAATGCCGTTCAGTAGTTTTCGTATCACGGGAATGTAAAATCTGGTGGTCAAAAAATATTTGTAGTGATATTAAGCAACCAATGCACTCTGTTAATT